AAGAAAAATTGTAAGGCCTGCTTCTTTTTGTTAAACTTCATTTACCCCCGCTCCTCCGCTCTTTATTTACTTATTCGCTTCTTAATCACTTTTTAGCTAAAGTACAAAAATTTAGTTAATATGTTTTCTTCTGCTTCCAGTTCTCAAAGGGAAATTGGTCAGTGTTACGCCGCACAAAACAATAGATGGGGTATTTGTCATTAGGGTTATTGATCACACATTGCAAGGGGAAAGTGATGATATGACATGACAAAATGATTTGTTTCGTCTGTCCGACAAACAAATGTTAAATGAATTTTCACAGAACCTAGTTTAAGTTAAATGAAAAGAAGTTAGGTATTGTGACAAAGAATAATTTTTTATGTCCGTCCCCACGCTACTAAGTGGAATGGGAATTATTAAATAAAAAATAGAAATAATGCCCTTAGACAAAAATTTTTATAAACTTTAATAGATCTGTGTCGATCTAGTCTTTTCTGTCTCTTTGAAATATTATACCGTGGGGAAAATAGGGAAATTTTCTATTAATAGGAAGTTAATCATTTGAGAAAGAAGAAAAAAATGATTCTTGTAATCATTTCATCAATTAAATTTTGTTATTGAAAATTATTTTCTAATATTTATATTGTGTTTAAATTTACAGGTATAATACCCTAAAATGGTAAGTGCATCAAATTTAATACCTTAAAGTTTGTAACACTGTAAAATATTGGGTTTGTAACTATGTCCTGTACTGTATAATGAACAAACGGACGAACATATATGATCAAATCGATTCAGCTAGTCGATATATATTATCGGTATACTTAAACCCACCTTTTAGTATACCGATAATATATATCGACTAGCTGAATCGATTTGATCATATATGTTCGTCCGTTTGTTCATTATACAGTACACGACATAGTTATAAACCCATCGTCCCGAAATATTGCTTATAGATTTGGCTGTGGCCAAAGACGACACCTGTATTTTGGACCAAAAACGATATTTTGTACGTTTTTCCGTTCGCTCTAGGTGACACAGAAAAACATGTCAGTAACGTTGTATGGAGACTATTTCAAAACGGGAACCGATATATCCCTTTTTCAATACGAAACCTCCTAGAAGTTCTAGCGCAGAAGGAGTAAAACCTCAAAGCTATATCTAAGCCGAGCTTTAAAAAACTGACATGGATAATTCACAGTGTTGCAAACGGAACAGAACATGATGAAGAGCCTCAAAATCTGTTCACAGACATTTTCGATATTGTTGTCCCCCATATTAATGGACAATAATTGATTTTATCTGTCGCCGAAATTGAGCCACGTGAAATTGAAAAAATGCTGATCATACGATATTTTGGATCATTTCCCAAAAATAGTTTGTACGCTCAGAAGATTCAGGTTTGTTGATATTATCAAAGTTTTACAGAACTACTACTACCATCTTGTTCGTCGGAGTACGAAACTCCACCGCAGTCACCTCAACAGCAGCCACATTGCTGTCACTATTCCTGACATTGCATCGTTCCCGCAATTTAATTGAACGGGCTTCGAGGAAACATAGACGAGATAGTGGACTTCATGAATTGGAAGAATATCTTGGTCGCGGTGGTGCAGGAAAACAAGCTCAATGAAAATTCTAGCCTATGCCCCTGTGATGGTGTGGCCCCAACATACCTTATGCACCAATATGTTCAATACAGGCCTATCTCGCTTGAGCTTTACTCTAGTGACCCATATATGTAATGTATGGGGGTAGCTGTTAAATGGGTGCTATCGATGTAGAGGTGCTTAACGTGTATTAACAGTTGTAAACGGCATTATTTGCCTATCCTTAATTTTATATTGGAGGACAATAACCGTCTGGTACTAGGGGATTTCAATGCTCACCATAAGTTGTGACATTCTGTCCTAGGTAATGAACAGAGGGGAACAATGCTGGCAGAGCAAATTGATAGCTTCACATTCTGCACGGTAAATGAGGATGCCCCCACCAGAAAAAGGGAGAGTGTCACAGTTCGCCAGACATAAGCATTGGGTCGCCAGAACTGATAAATGACGTCAACTTGCAGCCCGTCAGTTTTGTTGGCTCAGACCACCTCCCCATAATAGTCTCGCACTTTCATAAACCATAGGGAAGCCATCTGGCAAAGATTTAGAGAGTTCACCAACCAGCGCTTTAGAAAACTTTCCATTCCTTCTGATGTACCGGTAGCAGAAAGGAAATTCCGGGACATCATTACAGCTGCAGTCGATAGATTCATACTTGCTGGTCGAATACTCGAGAGGAGACCAAATTTCCCAGCAGAAGCAGGTTGTCTAGCAAATGAACGTAATGAGTTCCGTCGATCTAACTTAGCAGATCCCAGTGTCAGGTAACTAAAGTTGGAAGTCAGCTGATTAGTCACGGAAAATAAGCGGAATATATGATTGAGCACCCGAAGAGTTGCAATATCGGTACCGGTGTAAAACAAGTATGGGCAACGGTTAAGTCGCTCTCAAACCCTGATAAGAAGGATAAGAAGGATGGTAGGACCTCAGTCAAATTTAACGACGAAAATGTGACTGATCCGAAGAGAGGTGACAGTTATTTTAACCGGCCGTTTATCGAGCATCCCGATAGCGACAGGACGGAGCGAAGAGTACTACGTCGTATAATATCTCTTCACTCTGAGGAGGTACCGCCACAGTTTACAATGGTTGATGTTGCATGCGTCATCCGTAACGCTAAATCATCTTAAGCGTTGGACCTGGACGGAATATCCATGTATATGCTGAAATAGCTGGACAAACCAGGAGTACCTGACCCTAGTCCTAAATTTTTCGATAGCCACCCACGTCGTTCCCGAAGCCTGGACTGAAGCCAGGCAAGGATGCTAGAAATAGTGAATCTTACAGGCCGATTTCAGAATTCAGAAAGCTATCTAGTTGCCAATCATCAACATGGGTTCCGTAAGCCGACAACGCCATCTCCACACATATAAGTCGAGGACTTAACCAGTACCCACTGTGCCATAGTGTTGGCAGCGCTTGACCTATCAACGTCATTTGGTATAGTCAACCTTGCCACACTGTTTGAGGGCATCGAGAACACTTCCCGGCCAAGTTTGAAATGTTGAATAATCAACTATATGTGTTTACGCCAGTCGTACCTGAAGTTCCGGAATAAGAAGTACTAACCCAGCATATGTGTTTACGCCAGTCGTACCTGAAGTTCCGGAATAAGAAGTACAAACCCAGCAGAGTGAAGCAGGCAGTTCCCCAGTGTGGAGTGATATTTCCGAAACTGTTGAACCTCTACGTTTCCTGTATTCCACTCCCTCCAGACGGCATCATGATCGTTACGTATGCAGATGATTGCGATCATGGCATCGGGTCCTATAGTTTATGACAGTATGTGTAATATTGAACGCTTATCTCACCGAGTTAAGAGCTTTCTTTCACACGTGGAATATGCAAATAGGGTCTGCGGAGATGAAAATTTCTTTGAATGTTCAGGTCGAGGTGCAATTCCGACCATTAACTAACCCAATTCCGACCATTAACTAACACAAATAGGATCAAAGTCCTCAAGTTGCTTGTCGGCAAAACTTGGGCGCAGATAAGGAAACCTTGCTGACCTCTTACAAAGCGATATGTCGGTCTGTGGCTAGCTATGCGGTACCAGACGGCGAATACTAGTTTTAAGCAATAGAGAACTATGTACACCTGTCGCCCTGAGAAATGCAACAAGGTGTCTCCCTATGATACCAGTGGACGATCTTCACGAGAAGTCGACAATTCTTCCATTACGCCAGCATAGCAATATGCTTTCGGTGCAGTACCTGCTCCCCCACCAAATCATGTGAGGAAGGAGAGAGAGGTCCAACTTTATAAATTGAAGCCTCTAAATCAAGTTGTCTATCGAACAGGTCTGATTATCATTTATAATGATGCAGTTGCCGCAGTGCTGAACGAATGCAGAGTGAATGTCGTCCTCAGAACTCATCCCCCACCCATCGCAGCTGCCCAGATAAACCAAATAGTTTGGGCCCAATTACTTTCTGGATAATGTAGTCGTCTCAATTCGTATTGGACATGGATTGATGACCAGATGCAGAATGTATGCCCAGCCTTTGGTACGGGCCCTCATACCACACTGCACTTATTTAATTGCCCGGTAAATCTACCCGACTTACTCCAGAGGATCTGTGCTTGCAACCAATAGGAAAATCTGAATTTCTTAACTTCAAGACAGAACCAGATTGAATCAAACAAGAAGAACAATATTCATATAAAATTGCTACAACAACTAGATCGGATCAAATCTTCCTACCCAAAAAATTACCATTTCATGACCCGGTACGTCGTTACGTCTTTGAGGAGCCAAACGATTATATATGTACATTTAGAAAAAGTTCGGCCCGGGCGAACCAAATATAAATTATTTTCATCCCCTTTTTACGTATTTAGTCAGTTTACGGGTTTCATTTAATATCCTACACTTTATTTATATAAAATCCAGCAACCATCTCCAAAAATCTGACCCCATCTAATATATTTCCAACAAAGAAACTATTATTGATGTTAATACCCTATTTCTTTAAACTTCTTCTTCCTCTTCTTTTCCTATTTTTTTTCTTTCTTTTTTTCGGCTTCCCATTTCTAAGACAATTTGGGCTGATGTGATAATTGAGGAAACAATTGGACTTCCCTGGTTGCGCTGCAGCGAACGCGGATCATTCCAACGAAATATTACTTTCCATCATTGCAGTTGAATGTTTTCGGTGGTGGTGGTGTTGTTGTTGTTGCAACAATTAGAGGGGGAGAAAGCATGTGAAACAATAATTTCGTATAATGGACGGTTTTTGTTTTGGGAAAACCTTAACAAAAAACTAAAAATAAAAATAGAGAAACAGTAGCCAACACAAAACAACAACAACAATGATGATGATTGTAAGAAAATAGATATAAAAACAAAACATACAACAACAATGATGTTGATGATAAAAACAACAACAAACATTAATAACTTACCTTATTCACCAGCATTGTGCTGGCCAAAAGCAGCTGCAACAACAGCCATCTTCGGTTGTTTTGGTTACTCGGATTTTGATTCTGCATTGTGTTGCAGGTTTGTGGCTTAAGTCTTTTGTTTTGCTCTGTGACTTGTTGATGTTTTTTGTCGGTTTTTTTCTGTTTTTAATGGGGTGGTTTGTTTGGGTTCTTTTTTGGGGTAATTTTTTATTGTTTTTTTTTTTATTCTCAAATGCACTGACTTGTAACCACTTTAAGAAACAAAATTCTTGATTTATCTGCGCCGATGTGAATGGTTTGTTTGACGTTTAATTACTGCTGCTTTTTATTGAACACCGTTTGTGGACTCCTCCTCCGTAGGAATAGAAAAAAAAATGTTTTGGTTTTTTCTCAACTACCTAGAGAGATAACAAAAACAAAACATGCATAAAATAATAGAAATAGAAAAATAGCTGGTGGGCTTAATCACTCAGGGTACACATGTACATACATATGTATTTACTTATATGCGAGTGTTGTTGACTGATAAATCTCATATAAAAATTATAAATTCAATTCATGATTTATTTATTATTTTATTTTGATTTATTTTGCCTGGTTTTCATTGTTATTAATAATAGAATGATTAGTAATTTTTTGTTAATTGTTTTGCTTTTTTTCAAAAATTTTTTAACACGAGAAAAAATTAAATTCCTATTTGCCAAACAACAACATTTCCATTTCAATGCAGTTGTGAATTTTTTCATTTTTGTTGCTGTTGTTGCTCTGCTAATTCATTTATTCATTTCATATGCAATTTTGCTGTGTGCGTTTTGTGTAATGAAATACCTTGTCATCTTTGTGTGTATGTATGGGTGCGTTAATGTTTTAGTGTCTATATATGCAATTTCCTTGTTTGTATTAAATTTCGAGGAAATTTTTAGATGTATTTTTGCTTTGTTGTTTAATTTGTCTCGCCTATAGCTTAGGCTGCTAAACGCTTAGCAAATATTTTTTTGTTGATAAGCAAAATATTTACGTTTTTGTTGTTTTTTAAATATTTTTTGTATCTCAGGAGAATAACAATTAGAAAAATGTGAATCATGGGGGCTTTCTATGGAAGAGGAGAATACTTTAACATCATTTTTGATGATAAATATTCAAATTTTCCTTATAAGATCCAGTAGTCCTCGTATTGCAGCTGTGTCAATATGGCAATGATCAAGGATCTATATATTTCTCCGAGGACCATGATTCTCCATATGTTCTATAATGAGACATTTTACTCCCGAAATGCTAAAGAACAGCGAAAAATATGACGGTTTGGTTTTTGAAGTAGAAAATAATTTCAGAATTTCTGATTCTGAATATGTTGTCCAATAAAGGCTAAGAAAGAGGTTTTACATTTTGTTGGACTAAATCGCTGACATTTTAGGTTTTGATAATCTCTGACTTATAGATACAAAGCAA